GGGGTCAGTCCTGGCAACATAGGTATCAGGTTGTACACAGAGTTAGTGAATCTTCCATTCACTTTCAGAAGTCCTAGGATTAAACAGTAGCTATCTACAAAGTAGTCATTTTGTTGACAGGAGGAGGAGGAGGCGGCAGCCAACATTAAAAAAAAAATAAAAGGTGATGAAAAACTTTTACAGATAATTTTGGTATTATCCAGTCAGGTCTAACACCAATACTATTGTACCCCTTCATCTTATTAAATATCATCTTTACTAATGTATGGTACAAAATAAATAACAATTAAACCTTTGAATAAGTAGTACATCATCTTCCTAACAACCAATCTGCCACTATTCTTCCTCTGTGCACATATCTAATTATACTGGAATACAAAAATATCAAGATTCTAAAACTATGACACTGCTTGGATCCTTGTGAAAACAGTGTTTGGTAAAGAAGTATGGCGAGTCCTTAGTGGTACATTTGTCTTAGTAAGCTTGCATAGTTACCAACATGATACAGATACAGATACAAGGAGTGTGTGAAGCAGGCCATATTTGGTTCAGATTTGGCCTGATTCAGGGGACAGTGATTCACTTCATTGATTCTGATCACTGTCCTGATTCGATTCGGCCAAATCCAAATCTGAAGAGTCAATGTTAATGCAGAGAATCAGTGATTTGGCCATAGTCACAGCTTTAAATGTTTTTTCTACATACCTCGAAGTACCAGGCATGGCTCACGAATGCTGTGATGGTGGAGTGGATGGAGTGTCCCACAGGAGCATGGCAGGGAGGGCCCCACATGCTCAGCGGTGGACCTCCCACCCCATGACCCTCTGGCTTGGTGATCAGCTGCAGGGGGACCCCGGGAGCCACCCCAGACACAGGAGGCTCCAGTCACTGAGCCTGGGGCATCCTCCGCGGCAGACCTGGAAGTGGACTGGAAGTGCTTCTGGTCCACTGCCAAGTATGCTGGGGATCCCCCGCATGCTCCTATAGGATGCTTCACCTCCACAATTCTAGTATGGTATTTTTTATTATAAGGGAAATATCCTGGATGAACAGTATGAAGAGTATTGATACCAAAACCAACAAGTCTAGTCTATATAGGAATCTTATCTAATTTCTGCTGGCCTACTATTCCACACTAATTATGTGGCAGACAAACTAGTCATCTAGCTCCTGAATCCTTACTTTATGCTGCTTGAGTAGAAAAGGAAGCAACATCAACATGCCTCCATCATGCACAATCCACCACACATCAATGTTGCCTTCATTGTAACGCTCGTGGTTGCTGGGGTAGAAAGACACATTTTTAGGTACCAAGAGAGCCAAATGAGCTGCAGTGGTACAACGAACAGTATCTGCAGTTAAAGGAAGAAAGCAAAGAGTTACCTTTCTGTGGTACTATAAGAGTTAATGATAATGGAAAAAAACCCATAGTTACCATTCATGTTACAGAATTATTTACTATTCTGACAGGAAAGATTTCTGATATCTAGATTAGTGTGCTTATTAAACCCACTTTACAGTTTGGATTATTTTTTCTAATGCTTTGTTTGTTAATTACAGAATATATTTATACTAAACAGCAGGAAAGCATGGGTGGTTCTGCAAAAGAAATCTGTTCAATAGGCATGCAGTGTGTCCTATGAATAGTGAAGAACTTGGTTTTGGACGTCTAGCCACCCGATATATTTTAACACTAACCTATAAAGGTTTTCCAAGCTCTTGGGTCTTCACTTTGCCTCCAGCCATATGGCCATCCCAAAACCACAGTGTTATGTTTCATGCCACCTAGTCCACAAGACTGTATTAGATGAGCAATTCCTTCTCGAACTTTATTGGCTACAACTACTTGGCAAAATCCTTTCACCTTCTCAATTTCCATCATATTCTTAATGGTCTGGAAGACAGAAGAAAGAAAATTGTTCTTAATTAAAATGCAAATGTGCATCAGAAATTTCTGAATCTGTATATACTCAAAGCTGTACAGATAAGAAGTCTTTCACAGGCAAAATTCTGGTGCCTTATTTTGCATAGTTAAGTACAAGAGAATTTGGATACAAACAGGTGTAACAATTGTATCAATATCAAAGGATAAAACTATAAACTGTAGGCCTGTGCGAGTCGGCAGCAATCCGATCTGGCTTCAGATCCGGCCGCTTCAGATGGCTGCAATGCGATCCGGAGCTCCAGACCGGGTTTCTGCCTCGATTTGGCTGAAGCGGCTCCGAAGCTTTGGAACCGCCTCAGAGATCTGGCCATAGGGTATAAGGGGGAATCAATTAAATATCAATAACTTTGTTGTTTTTTGTCCAACTTGGATGAAACATGCAGGGCTGCTAGCATGAAACCTACCAAGTTTCAAGAAGATCAGTGCAGGGGTTTGGGGGGAACTGTACCCCAAATTCTTGAAAGCCAAACTCATGTTACGCCTGTGTGTCACACCACACGGGGGTCAAAACTGCAGGGCTGGTAGTTCTTACTGAGGCCACAAAGCCTGCCAAGGTTCAAGGAGATCGGTGCAGGGGTTTGGGGGGAACTGCACCTCAAGCTGTGGACAAGCAAAACTTGTGCCATGGGTGACACTGTGTGTGTTAAGGTGCAGCGGGATGACAGCTGCAGGGATGGTGACCCCTGCTGTGATGCCTGCCACCTGTGGACGAGACTGGGTAGGGGGGTTGGGGGCCCTGCATTCCTAGCTGCTGACGGACAAAACTCGTGCCAAGACTGACTGTCTTGGGGCAGTTGTCTGTATTGATTCTTTTCTCTTCTTAGCCTGGTTTTGTAGGTGCTAATTGATGCTCGTTAAGTCTTATGTAGTAGCTAGGTCCTGTGCATTGAGCTGGGCCCTGAGTCCCTGGTCCCTGAGTGAAGCATGACTGATTGATTGGTAACTGGTTACACAGTAGCTTAGCAGCCAGGCCTGCAGTAGTGTCTCCTACACCCTGAGACAGAACGTCAGTCCCACAAACACCCATGGCATCAGTTTTGCTTGTCTGCAGCTTGAGGTGCAGTTCCCCCCAAACTCCTGCACATATCTTCTTGAAACTTGGCAGGCTTTGTGGCCTCAGTAAGAGCTACCACCCCTGCAGTTTTGACCCCCCGCTATATTGTAACACCTAGACATGACATGAGTTTTGCTTTCAAGAATTTGGGGTGCTGTTCCTCCCAAACCCCTGCACCAATCTTCTTGAAACTTGGCAGGCTTCATCCTCTCTGCAGATCCTACCACCCCGGAAAATTTCATCCAAATCAGACAACAAACAACAAAGTTATACATATTTTATTGTTTCCCCATTATACCCTATGGCTGGATCTCCAAGGCGGCTCTGAACTGCTTCAGGAAGCCTAACGAGGCCAGCGCTTTGACCCGGATGTGCTGCTTAATTAATCCTATTTCATTCAGGGTCAAACCTCTATTCCTCAAGTTCATTCAAAGTTTCATCACAGTACTTAATGTGCCCTCATAAGCAGCAGCTCTCCTTTTTCCTATCAAGCCTTTAAAAGTATGTTTGTTCAACTCCTTATGCTACAAATTATATAAGAGAGGTGCTTAAAGTATACTTTAAATAATTAGTTGGGCAAACTATTTTATTTATTTTTACTATCATTGCACTTGCTTTTCTCCTCTGGCTTGAAGAACAACTTGTATTTGACAGCTTTTTTAACTATCCCAACTATGCATTTGGTCCAATAAAAGATATCACCCAAATAAATCCTTGCCTCTCACAATTTTTTAAACAAATTAAAATATATTTGTTCCTACAAGGCTTTATGCATGCAGCAAAAGATAAAAAGAACAAATAGGTTAGTCTGTAGTAAGCTCTCAGTGCTATTATTTCGCTACTCAATTTTCTCTTGTAGAATATATATTGCTTTTGCCCATATCTGTAAATAAAAATTAAATTGCATTATCCAGACTGCAAAACACTGAAAAGCAGAAAATGGCTGTGGGAAACATGTTAATCTAGAGACTTAAAAACTAGCTATCCATTTTTTAAAATCTCCTGCCCCTACAAACACTTTTGGGAAAAATGAATATAATAATAAAAGGGGGAAAAAAATGAAGACCAACCTTGGAGCCTGAGAGCTTTACTATAATTACTACAGCAAGTCTGCCAAATTTAGGAAACTTTAAAGCTAATATTTCCAGATCAGTTCAGAAAGGGACAATAGTTATTTTCTCAATGAAACAGCCTACATCACAAAATACTGACTTCTGTCATTATGGGTGACAGAGATACATATACGTATGACCAAGAACTTCTAATGTGCATCAGCTCAGTTTGGTTTTTGGTTCTTTAAGCTACCTATACACATGATCAGAGGTGGGGAAAAGGAGAAGGGGGAACATTTTAATTAGAGCCACTTCCACTCTAATTAAAATGCTGAAGCATCATGTGTATTAAACCCCTTCATATTTAAAAATGGCTGTGGGACGCTTTATCTAAGCCTCATTCTATAAGGTTTCATGAAAGTGCCCTGAGGCCATTTCTAAATGCATGGGGGCTTAATACATGTGATGCTGCAGCAACGTTGCAGCTTTCTAATTAGAACACACAGCAGACTTGATTAATCAAGTCTTCTCCAATGTGTTCCAGTTAGAACATGTCAGAAAATATGTATAAGCAGCCTTAGATCACAACTTACAGCATTTACACCTGCCCTTAAATTCTTTGCTGAATTGACTTGGGATTACTCATACATTTAAAAACTTTACCTTCTTGGAGTCTTAATAAAAGTACTTTATTTTACAGAAAACTTTTATAAAAGCTTGCAAAGCCTTTGTATACAATTTTTGGTATTTAAAATACTCACCTGTTCAGCAGCTTGGGCTTCCCCATAACTCTCCAGGAAATTCCCTTGGATTACAGTCCCTATGATAGTCAAACCTTTGCCAGCTTTCAGCTGAGAAGCAAATGTTAACAACCTAGGGTATTTGACGTGCAAGTCTTCATCTAACTTCAGAAGCACCAACAATTGGGGCCTGGAGAAAAGGCAAGCAATCAGGATTATTATTTTGCAAAAATCTTCAGAACAAATTTGTATCTTTCATAATATTACGTATGTTTGAATGTTAATGCCAATACCAGCAGCAGTGCAGTACATTTTCTCTGTACTATATTTATTAGTAGTACTGTACTATAATTGGTATTTCATTTCTTTAGACTCAAGCAGATTTGGTACTTTCTGAGGATCTTCTTCTATGCTAGGGGTTTTCAACCTTTTTTAACAAGTGTACCTCTTCTGTCTCAAAGTTTCAGCTCATTTACCCCTTTATAGCTTTATATTTTGTTCCTGTTTTTAAAGGTGGTGGGAGCAGATTGAGGCCCCTGCAGTGATGGAGAGAGGGAGCCATGAGTGGCTCATCCGGGGATGTCGGGAGAGGGGGCTCCTGCTGCAGTTCACAGCCTCAGAGGACATGTGGGTCATGTGCCCCCGAATCTGCCCATAGGGCAGAGCAGGCTGCTGCTGCAGGCTGGGGCCGGGGCAGTGCCGGGCTCTTCGCAGTGAGGATGTTGGGCTGGGGCTGCACTTGGGGTGGGCAGCAGAAGTGCTGGGAGGGAGGTCTGGAGAAACTACTGTGAATTCTGGAGTGGCTGCAGCCCCTCCCATAGCCCCCTTCCTGTAGGCCCTCAAAGTGAGGGTGGGAGTGAGGCTGGGGCAGGCACTGTACAGTCAGGTGGGGTGCAGGGCTGAGCTGCATGAAGGGGGAAGCTCCCACAGCTACATGCACCCCAGGGAGAGCATGGCAAGCATGTGCCCCCAGATCTTTGTGGAGGGCAGGGTGGGCTGCTGCTGCAGGCTAGGGCCAGGGCGGTGCCAGGCTCTTCTTGGTGGGGGGCTGGACTGGGACCCCACACCACCGCACTGGAAACAGCTCAGTGCAGCCTCAGCCCACAGAGGCAGCTTGCCCTGCCCTGTGTACAGATCCAGGGGCACCCCCCTCCCATGCCCTCCTGAGGGTGCACGTAGCGGGGGCTGGGAGAAGAGGCTCAACACATGGTGGCCACCACTACCAGGCACCGCCGCCCCTCTTGGCCATGTGCCACACACTACATCATTGTCCCACAGGTGGTAGCATGTGCAGATCTACGGGCTGACAGGCCTCATGTCCGGCCAAACATGCGCCACCGGGGGTGGGAACAGAATGCACTTCCTCTCTCCCCTGCCACTGAGACCCTTGCAGAAAGAGGGTGGCCATGGCGCCTCCTTGCCATCGGCTATTGGCTGAGGGTGGTGGCTCAGCAAGCAATCAGGAGAGCAAGCTGGGGTGGGGGCAGGAAGCACCATGATATGCTGTGTGGGGCTGGAGGTGCCTGGTGTGCCCCTCCCCATCCCTCACATAAGAGGCAAAGTGTGGGTACGGGCCAAGGAGAAGTTGCTACACCAAGGCA